GATGAACATGTCTTTCAACAAAAAACTGTGGATTACTCCTTTCACCACGTCGCCTTCTAACCCTGGCACGACCATCGTGCATGCCTAAACAAAATCGAGACTCGTCACTAAAGACAATACTGTTCCATTCCTGATCCCAGAGTGACCGTTGTCTGCACCACGATTACGTCGGTGTTCTCGAGTTAAAGGGAGGACCCAGTGTGGCCGGTATGAAAACAAGCCAAAAATTCTCATTCGTCGGTAAACACTTCGCATGCCAATAGGTCTTCCGTGTTCTGCAAACCATTCATTTGCAATGGACCTGGTAGTGGAGAAACGGTCCCTTAAGGCCAATAATCTTAGGCGGCGTTCTTCACGGTCTGTTGTTCTACGGCAGCGTCCAGTGTCCCTTGCTCTTTGCGTACGGCCTTCTCGAAGACATGCCTGACAACACCTAACCACAGTGTCTACACTTCTTTGCACTCTAACTGCAATTGCCCGAAAAGAAAGTCCAGCTTCCCGAAGTCCCACTATACGGCCCCTATCAAACTCACTAAGTTGACGAAATCGTACAGGTCTCCGTACTCTAGGCATCGTAACCGATCGTAAAGGATGTCAAGAAAAAAAAACCGCCAACGTTGATTCTTTACTGCGGCTGAAATATTCATTTTTAGAGCGTTAGTGAATTAAAAAAAGCAGTATAAAAACAGAAATGTCCAACTGATAAGGCTGAAAATTTTTTCACTTGTTATTTACAGTAAGATAGATACATTCACCAACTTTTATTAAAATAAAACCATTTAAACTGGGTATTCGGATTTATATGTCACTTAGTTTTTTTTTTTTTTTTTTTTTTTTTTTTTTTTTGGCTTTAGGACCAGGCCATGCAGCCAGAAACTAGGTTTGGATATTTATATATTTCTATAATTATGGACAAACACACGACGTCACAACATCCATGGCGAGATTCGAACTCGCGGCCCGGCCGGCCGGCTGATCAGTAGCACGGCACTCTGACCAACGCGGCCAACCGAGGCCTCATTAGTATATTAGATAAACAGACTATTTACAATTATTAACCCTCCTCCCCCTTGTCAGCAAAAGTAATTCTTCACCTCCCATGCTTACGTGAACATCTTACAATTTGAATGAAGGCCTTTCACGCACATGTTCTGAATACCATTTAATGTCTGGAAAATCAGGAAGATCCAACATGATCTATACCCATTAAACTCCCTACCATGTTTAGTACATTTCTGGTAGATTCGGAACTGGATCTTTCTAAATGTTCATAAATTGTATCACCACATTCATCCAAATTATATCCAAAATGGTCATGAGGCTGTATCAAACCAGCCAGTTCCCGGCTGAGAGGAGCAATTCCGCGCTTTATTCGGTTGTATGCATTTCACTATCTATATTTGGGCAATCCTTGAACCAAAATCTACTCAATTTTGTAGAAAATTTGATAAAGTGAAAAAACAAATATTGCATGTATGTATACAGGGTGACTTCGAAGTTGAGTCATTTATTTTAACAGTGAGTAGATCTGATCAAAAGAAATGTTTTTTTCCTTTACCATTTTTCTGGTAAAATTAAAGTAACAAAGTTATAGCCCTTTGGAAGTTTGAGTACCGCCCTGTCTCAATAACATCATGTGCTCGTGTTTGGCAACAACGGATATAATCCACCTTATCGGTTCATCGCATCGGAAACAAGAAAGCTAAAGAATTTGGAACGATGTTTACTTTATTCAGTTCAGTTATACATACAATCAGTGTCAGTCGCGTGTGAATAGTGTCTGTTGCGTGGCTCAAACGAAATAAAAAATGGCACATGTTTATGCGGATCGGTTTCCCAATCGAGTGCAATCAGCCCCTCGTGCCTTTGTTAATAGTAGTACAACGGGCTCGTGAATCAGGTGACTTCAGACCTCACAGGGGACCTCACGATCAAATACAGGTCCGCACTGAAATACTTGTCGGGAGGATACTTTATAAAACAAGGTAAAAAATTTTTTTTATTTTTATTTTATTTTTACACACATATTTTGGTTTATCTTCCTTCTACAATCATTATCTGAAAATTAATGACTCAACTTCAAAGTCACCCTGTATATACATACATACTAACACGCAAACAGGTCGGTTAGTGAAATTTAAATAATATACGTATAAAAATAAAAGCCTGTAATAAAAGTTTCAGGATACCTAAGTACTATGTAACAGTCAGTTTCTTACACTTTTAGGTCTACCTGCATAATTAAGGTTGACTTTTACCTTCGTACTTCGAATCAACAAATTCTAAACTCAGAACAAAGTACCAAATATAAATTTTAGAAATTATCCAGAAATATAGGGTATTCCCAAAACATAGGAGAAAAATCAACGGGAAATTCTTTGGACTGTTTTGCCATAGAAAGTTTCCTAAAATACCGCTGCTGAACGATGTCAATGGAAATTAGTTTCTCTTGAATAACTTTTGAATCACACTGTAGATATTACCATATTTTCATCGTGACAACACGTATTTAGATCAGAAATGAACTAATACAATATTGCTGATTGTTTCACAAATTGTATAATAATGGCTTTTATAAAGCATACAACTTCAAAAATGAATTCTTGTTTTATTTCGATAAGATGAATCGTTTATGAGAAAAATGTACTTCTGTACTTCATGATTCTGATCCGCATTTTTGGAAATATAGTTTTTTTTATACTCCAACTACCACGAAGGCCTAAGGCCTAAACACCCATTGGGTACCGAGGGGCTATAGGGGGATACAGGGAAAAGGGGGAACGCCACACGGACTCTGGCGAGGGAACACGTATGCATGCAACATGCACACATTCTGACTCCGCCTAAGAGATCCGCCGGGTGGTACCTCCACGTTCGACAGTCAGAGACCGTCTACCACCTACGGACAATCACAACATCCATAGCCAAGAGAAAAATTCTCCTGGGACGGGACTCGAACCCGCACAGCGCACGGCGACTGATCAGGAGACCGAAGGGTCTACTACTGCGGCCACCGCTGCTGCCTGGAGTTTCGGTAGTTTCAATAACATATTCACAATATATTTTCAGACTTCACAATCAAGTTTTAGGCCCTTACACCTTTTCGGCATTGGCTGGAATGTAAATTGGAAGGAGCAGTAGTGAAGAGTATGCCACCAGTGAGGAAGAATGAGAGAATGAGCAAAAATTTCGATAATGAGATTATGTTTTTTTGAGGTTACATGATGTACATTACATTACACTTATTCCCCTCAGCCTCTCTGTCTGTCTGTATGTCCGCTAATCCGAGGCTCATCTATAACTTGGAATGTACTGATCAGATTTTGGTGAAATGTTCACGCAATCTTACTACGCTAAGGATGAAAAAGCGTTTTAGTTTTTGAAAATCGGTCTAGTCGTGGCGGAGCTAACGGAAAAGACGAAGAAAATCCATCGAAATTCGTTTTTTGACATGTCAAATGCTCAAGATCATTCTCAGAGATTTTTTTTGAGAAGCTGAAAAGTGGAGGTAGGTGAGGGTATATCGCGACCTTTTGGCGATACTATATTTATAAGCTTTTTTCTCAGGGGCTGTAACTTGAGCCGAACATAATTCTTTATGAACCGATGACAGCATTTTGTGGGAAGTGCAAAGTCAACCTACTTGACGCAATTTTTTAAAATGGTTTATGCGGCATCAAGAATCATGTTTACCAACATATCATTTTAAAGCTATTATTATAGGGAGTCTGAAAAGAGAGCAATATTGCGCGGGACTTAGTCCATTTCTGGTGACTTAAATTAACTTCATTGTTTTTTATATACTAGCCTGTGAGGACTTTGTGCTGTTACAACTAAATTGGAATATACAGGGTGACTTTGAAGTTGAGTCATTAATTTTCAGATAATGATTGTAGAAGGAAGATAAACCAAAATATGTGTGTAAAAATAAAAAAAATTAAAAAAAAATTACCTTGTTTTATAAAGTATCCTCCCAACAAGTATTTCAGAGCGGACCTGTATTTGATCGTGAGGTCTTGGAGCACCGGCATGCCCTCTCCTGTGAGGTCTTAAGTTACCTGATTCACGAGCCCGTTGTACTACATTAACAAAGGCACGAGGGGTTGGTTGCACTCGATTGGGAAACCGATCCGCATAAACATGTGCCATATTTTATTTCGTTTGAGCCACGCAGCAAACACCACTATTCACTCACGCGTTACCGACTGACACATCGACTGAATAAAAACATCGTGATCAGCGTTTCAAATTCTTTCGCTTTTTTGTTTCCGATGGGATGAACCGATAAGGCGGATTATATCCGTTGTTGCCAAACACGAGCACATAATATTATTATTGAGACAGGGCGGTACTCAAACTTCTAAAGGGCTATAACTTTGTTACTTTAATTTTACCACAAAAATGTTAAAGAAAAAAACATTTCTTTTGATCATATCTACTCACTGTTAAAATAAATGACTCAACTTCGAAGTCACCCTGTATAGTATGAATACAAGGGAAACGTTATTAAAGAAAATAGCCCTAAACTAAGTCCTACGAAAACTGTTTCTTTCAATATTCTTTGATTAACACATTCAGAACTTCCGAGTTGCAGCTTTCCCATTTTACTCTGAGTCATCGAACTTTTTTAACACAATACGTAAACAGTATGTATATTCTATGACCGAGTCTTGAGTTAGAAAACAAAACTACATTTTGCGACTTATTTCATTGTCCAATTTCTCTTTCTTTCCCACATTACTTTATATCGTTGACAACCCTAATGAAAAACAGGATTCATAAACGCTTTCCTGGACAACTCTACAACTGCACCGAACATCTCCCGTATCGCAAACAAAAGGTAGAACAGTCAGTTTCGTTGCACTATTATACAGAGCTTGAAAATTATGTTATTTCTTCTATTATAAAGGATTACTTCCGAGAGGTATATTAAAATGACACAGCAATTGGTATTTAAGAAGTTATATTTTATATATACAATGTGAAATATCTCATATACAAGTTCTAAACGGCGCTTAACACTATTATAATACAAGGTACTTAACATTAACGCTCTGTTTGCACAAACCCAGCTTAATATGTATCGTTGACAGGTCATTGGTAAATGTCAATATTACATATACTCAGCGCACACTATGGCTATTGATAGATTGAATATGTACAGCTGCTTTGGTATGGCACATATAGTACAAGAGATAATTACGTCTTTAAGGTATGCGTCAACAGCTCCGCATCATACGCATTGGACTGGGTTTTAAGACTCTTTGTATAGAATAAAGCATTAGACTATTACACCCCGCATCTCGCTAACGTGGTTTGGGGGTTGCAGACTCGTAGGATACTATACAGGATGTTCTGTACTTGAGTGGACAGAGTGAAACAGAAATATTTTCATATCCATGAATAAAAAGTTTAAAATTCAGTTTTTATGGATTTATACTTCAGATTCTTAATATCACATATTTCAGGCACCATTGAACCGTTGAAATTTTGAACGATAATAAAGTTACCTGGGTGTAGCATAAAACTAGACAGAATAGTAAAAAATCCAGGTCTGGACTCGGCTTTTCACTTTTGTTGTTTTTTTAACAGAATCAACACCTTTTAAGCTGAAATTTTTGAATATGTTCAAAAGCAAAATAGATTGATTGCGCCTCTTTTGGTTTTTTACTTTCACATTTTTATTTATTCTGATATCTTGTTTTCAGAAGCTTATGAGATACAAAACTCAAAATTTCAACTCGTTTCCAACAACAGATTAGAAAATGGCATTTAGTATACAAATGCACTGAATTTAACTTTCCAGACCAATTCGAGATTATGACGAGAATGTAGAAATACCTTAATATACAGCATTTTCAGCATATTTACGTTTACGAGTCCGCATAAGAAGCCTACGTTAGGTTTAGTTACATAATGGTACATCACACAATTAAATGTGGATTATTAACTTAATTTTTGGAACATCAAATTTAGTGAGATTACATATTAAATGCCGTTTCTCCTTTAAGCAGATCTCTTGTTGCTAAAGAATGTCACTTGGTCGAATCATAGAAAAAATACTGAAAAAGGTAAACAGGGTGCATAACATTCATTTTCCTTTTTATTTATATCATGTCTTGCTCTCTTTTGTCTGCGAAATAATAGGTAATCAATTCTGGGTATAATTTACAGGACATTCCACTTGATAAAATATAAGGAAATAAGACAAACTGTATCTGACCCTGGAATTTTGAGTTCCCAAAACAACTTTGCTTCAATTTTGAGCATAACTTTGTGGAATTTTGAGCTTTGTGTCACAAAAACTACGAAAAAAGAGATATTTGATAAAGACAATTTTTTAATCAAAAAACTAAAAGAGGCACAATCAAAATGGTATTCAGGTTAAAAGGTGTTGATTTTGATAAAAAAATAATACAGTGGAAACAACGTGCTCAGACGCCACCTGCCCGTCTAGTTTTACGCTACTCCTAGTTCAATAGTGCCTGAGACATGTGATTTGGCGTGTTTAAGTTCGTTAAGCTGAATTTACAACTTTTTAATTTACATATGAAAGTACCTACCATTTTACTCCATTTGAGTACGGAACACCCTGTAAGGAGTATAGGCACAGATTATACTGTTGCGACACCTGCTGTCGGTTTGATCTTCGTGTCCCCAACTGCTTACCACATTTCGCGCTTATGTTCATTAGCGTCCGGAGGATGTTTTCCTAGGGGTTGTTACGCGTGATTAGCCTGACGTCACGAATGTCTTATGTCAAGCTACAGAACGAAGACATTTGTGTTTATTATTAGTAGCGTGTGAAGAACCAAGTTCTATCAACGACAACTTAAGTCTTATGCGTTTGGAAGGATTTCCTCTACAATTGTTCGAAATATTCTATGAAGAGCTCTTAAAACATTACCTTGCCTAAATGCACCTAAGCAAATGATAAATTTCTTGATTCTATAGTTTGACGTATCATATTCATGACGTCTGACTAATGGAGCGTTAAAGACCCCTGGAAAAAATGCCTCCGGACGCCCATGGAATTAGGGAGTGAACGCGTCAAACAGCTGGGATCAAATGGACCGATAGTAGTAACACCTATATAATTTATGGTATACTCGTAGGTACATTTGAAACAACACGTCACGAAGGAAATATGATCGAGCTTAATGCATCTATCTGCTTGTCGGCCCATCAACGGGCATATGTAGAGGTTCAGTGCTCGGTGGCGGATCCAGGGGAGTGTCCCGGATGTATGGACCCTCCCCCAAAATATCCGAGTTAAAAAAAACTGGTGTTTTTCAATTTGTGGACAACCTCCTCCTCGCTCTTTAGTTTTCAAACTCCGCGAGAAGTGCATCTTCCTGTTCATAAATCCTGAGCCCCCCCATCCCACAACACAATTTCAAATTCAAAATATTTTCTAGATCAGCCTCTGTCAGTACTCAGAATTTCTGATCTGAGAGATGTATCTGCTGTCCATGAGCCGAAAAGGATTCGATAAGGTGTGCAAATCAATCAGGAGCCGTGCGACAGATTGCCGTCAATGCACACTGAACACTACCACAAATCAATCCATTTATCCTGGATCATCCAATGCGTACGATGCGGCACTAGGCACACATACCTCAAGTCATTATGCTAGAATCATATTTTCACTTTCTTTGGCTTGATCAGAATATGTACATAGATATGGTAACAACAAACCGGTTTTTGAAGTACTTTACTTCACCGTGAAACCTTTTGGTTTTGAATGGAAAATGCATGCACGTACCCAATTCCACAAATGGTCTCGCTGTAAAAAAACTATCTACACCACTTCTCCTGGTGATATTTTGAGCCATTATGTGATCTGCCTGGTTCACGAACCCAGGCTATGCCCATGATTGGCAAGATGGAAGTACGGCGCGTAACCTCCTGATCCAGTTGCTTGGTGAAGGGGGTAGACGCCCCCGTACGGTACATGATGGGAATACATGAGTCCAGAGTGCGCGTGGTGTCCTGGAAAGCCCGGGAAACTCCCCCCGTTGGTCACTGATGCTGGAGGCGAAATGGGCGAGTTGACGTCCATGCCGGGATTCTGCTTTTTCCATTTGGTACGCCGATTCTGGAACCAGATCTTCACTTGCGTCTCTGTCAGACTGAGGGAGAGAGCGAGGTTCAGCCGTTCGCATACGCTGAGGTATCTGAAACAACAGACATTGCAGTTTAAGTGCGCTTAGATAATATTACGGTAAAATGATTCATCCTAAAAGCATCTGACCACTGTTATGATATAATTTTGGAGGCCTCTTCACAATTGTGCCTGGCCAAAACACTATCAATGCTCCAGGCAAAACTGCATATGAAAATTGCCCCAATGTTATCCAAATCTAAATCTATTCAAATCAATGCATTTTAGGTCAAATCGCCTTATCCAAATTTTAACAATTCCCTGTAATTTCCTGTATTGTCAGAGTCAACCCCCTCAAAATGAACGGAAATTCCCGTTTTGCCAAAAAACATACGGTATCTGCCTAAAAGCTTGGTTAAAACAACTTTCGATTCTTGTTCTGCCAAACTGAATTAAATTGGCTACACATGTCACATGTAACGGAGAAATTTCATGTCTCCTCTTTAGAGCCCTAAAACTATTTAAATCGTTGACTTCGCTGCTGGTCCACCCATTTTTTTCTGTATAAAACAGAAGACATCGCCAACAATACAATTTGTTCCTTTGCAACCACATAACCAAGAGTTTCCATATACCAACTTAATTTAAAATATCAAACTACGTTTTTTTATTTCTTTTTAAAATTATCTAAAATAGGGTGTTGGTCTTCCATTTTCAATGATCTCCTTTTTTTCTTAAAAATTATACAAGGAGACTTTTCAAGTAGTTGATCAATTACGCAGCGACACTCATCCATGTTTAATTGCACGCTCACTACAGCCGGTAACCAAAACGGCTACTAACGAGTGAGAAGACTGAGTAGTGAGATACCAAATCAAAAAATGGTAAGAAGCCCACATAATAGTCGCAGCGTCCCACGCACTCGGGCGACCGCGATAAGACACGAGCCGGTACCGACGGTCCCCGATGGACTACCAAGTGTATCCATAAATTAATGAGATCAAAATCGTCAAAAGTCGGAAAAATACATTATCACCGGAATTCTTAATTTTTTTACATTTTAAACGTAACATATCATCAGTTGGCCAACTTTCGATTCTTACAGGTTTCATAGTAAACATTTTTATTTGTCTCCCGGAAAATTGAGAAAATCCGAGAACTACATTTTTGCTGATATTCTTCAATTTTTGATGGTCTCAGCCAGGTAAGAAATACTTGGCTAGTAAAGTTATCCATTATATATACGTACCGTTTGACGTACCTTTTGATTCCATTGTCAAAGCAGTGATTTCTTGGAAAGTCGCCAAAAATTTTAAAACCTCATTTTCATCGATTTTTGACATTCTAAACTTATAATATCATAAGTTGGCTAACTTAAAAAACTTATATATGCACTTTTGTCCATTCTTACAGGATCCAAAATTGCGAAAGAAGGAGAAAGCGCATTTTGCCTGATTTTCTTAAATTTTTGCATTTTCTGACAGGAAAGCAATGCTTACTTAACACTGTAACCCATTATACAGGGTGTCCCAGAAGTCGACGTCAAGCCGAAACCGGGTGATAGGCAAAGTCATAACAGCTATCAGAAAAATATTTAAAAAAATTTTATGTATGTGTTTTGAAAATTATAGGTCTTTGAAAAAAATATAGAAATTTCACACCCTACGGCAGTCTGTCAACTCCTGTTACTACAAATATTAACTTTTTGGGTTTTATTTTTACGATGTAATGATGAATAATGCATCTTCAAACTGGTGTCTCAACCTTACTGCCAACGTTGCTCGTTCAGGAAAAATTGCCACTTATTTCCCAACCAAGTATTCCAAAGTAGAACTTTGCTCAACTTTAACTGGCTGTACTGGAAAAATGTACTACGAGAGTTTGGCAAGTAACCTTAAAAGTTGGCGCATTTAGTAAAGATTCCAAAATGGTATAACACTTAGAATATTACTCGTTAACTTATGCACAATCTTTATTTGGAGACTAACTGATGAAAATTTTTCAAAATTTCCTAATTAAACAGCGATTATGAAAACGCACAAGGACCCTTAAGGATAACTGTTTGCACAACAGTGGGCGTCAAAATGCTGCTGATGATGATTTACCTTTACAGCAAATGCTCAAACTGTTTTCCTTCAGCCGCAATACACGCTCGACATCTTCTTAAAAAAGATCGGGTTATTAAACGAGCGAATCCACGGTTATTAACAAACTCAGCTGCTTCCAATAGTCTTTGCCGTAGCTCAGCTACATTTTGAATCGGCTTGAAATAAACTTTTTCTTTGACAGTTCCCCAGTAAAAAAAATCTAACGGATTCAAATCTGGTGACCGGGCTGGCCACGGTATTGTACCAGACCGCCCTATCCATCTGCCTGGAAAGTTTTGATCGAGATACTCTCTCACTGAGAGTGCATAGTGCGCATGCTGAAACCACATGTCCCTGTAAATACTCAGTGGCACGTCCTCCAATAAATTTTCTAAATGATTTTGCAAAAATCCTAAATAAACCTCAGCAGTCAAAGTCTCTGGGAACTCAAACGGACCGATTATTTTACCATTTAAAATTCCTGACCAATGGTTTATCTTGAAGCGATATTGAGATTTATCTTCTCTCATCAAATGTGGGTTTGCTACTTGCCACTCGTGTAAGTTATGCAGGTTCATGTACCCATCTTTCTTAAATGTGGTCTCATCTGACCATACAATTTTTTCAAAGAACCGTGGATCTTCCCTGTGTCTTTCTAACATTGTGCGACAAAAAGCAACTCGGGGCTCATAATCCCGGGGCAGAAGAGCTTGAACACGCTGTACGTGGTATGGATGGAGCACGTTTTTTTGCAAAATTCTATGGGCTGTACTTTTGGGCACACCTGTTTTTAGTTCTATTGCACGCACTGAAGTACTCGGGTCTTCTTCGACAGCTCCTAGCACCACGTCTTCGCAAGGAAGGAAAGATCTTCCCTCACCGTGTGATTGGTTTGGTAGTTGTCCCTCTGAGAACAGTAAGTGGTGCACATTTGTGAACACTCGATGATCTGGATGACGAGCTGTATTTGGGTACCTCTCACAGTAAAGTCTCGCTGCAGCACTAGCGTTGCATCTGCATTCCCCATAAATGAGGTGCATGTTAGCATATTCTTGTACAGTGTACACGGACATAGCGACACTGCACAATCACACTATCAAAGATAGTCTAAGGAAAGCAAATGTTGTTTTGAAGAGCAATTAAACAGTCCAAATCCAAATCACAAGCGATCAACAGTCCAGTTCACGAATCCAAAATTAGTAACAGTACGAAATCAACAAGCACGAACATGTAAAGATGCGCAGTAAACGAAGGAGTACTGATCGGTATCAAAGTTTGCAATAGCAAGTAAGTGATGTGCTTCATCCATACCACATACAGCGTGTTCAACCTCTCCTGCCCCGAGATTACGAGCCCCGAGTTGCTTTTTGTCGCACAATGTTAGAAAGACACAGGAAAGATCCACAGTTCTTTGAAAAAATTTTATGGTCGGATGAGACCACATTTAAGAAAGATGGGTACATGAACCTGCATAACTTACACGAGTGGCACGTAGCAAACCCACATTTGATGAGAGAAGATAAATCTCAATATCGCCTCAAGATAAACCATTGGACAGGAATTTTAAATGGTAAAATAATCGGTCCGTTTGAGTTCCCAGAGACTTTGACTGCTGAAGTTTATTTGGATTTTTTGAAAAATCATGTACAAAATTTATTGGAGGACATGTGTTTTCAGCATGATGGCTGCCCAGCGCACTATGCACTCTCAGTGAGAGAGTATCCCGATCAAAACTTTCCAGGCAGATGGATAAGGCGGTCTGGTACAATACCGTGGCCAGCCCGATCACCTGATTTGAATCCTTTAGATTTTTTTACTGGGGAACTGTAAAAGAAAAAGTGTATTTCAAGCCGATTCAAAATGTAGCTGAGCTACGGCAAAGACTATTGGAAGCAGCTGAGTTTGTTAATAACCGTGGATTCGCTCGTTTAATAACCCGATCTTTTTTAAGAAGATGTCGAACGTGTATTGCGGCTGAAGGAAAACAGTTTGAGCATTTGCTGTAAAGGTAAATCATCATCAGCAGCATTTTGACGCCCACTGTTGTGCAAACAATTATCCTTAAGGGTCCTTGTGCGTTTTAATAATCGCTGTTTAATTAGGAAATTTTGAAAAATTTTCATCATTTTTTTTTTCAAATAAAAATTATGCATAAGTTAACGAGTAATCTTCTAAGTGTTATACCATTTTGGAATCGTTATTAAATGCGCCAACTTTTAAGGTTACTTGCCAAACTCTCGTAGTACATTTTTTCCAGTACAGCCAGTTAAAGTTGAGCAAAGTTTTACTTTGGAATACTTGGTTGGGAAATAAGTGGCAATTTTTCCCGAACGAGAAGATTTGGCAGTAAGGTTGAGACACCAGTTTGAAGATGCATTATTCATCATTACATTGTAAAAATAAAATCCCAAAAAAGTTAATATTTGTAGTAACAGGAGCTGACAGACTGCCGTAGGGTGTGAAATTTCTATATTTTTTCAAAACACATACATAAAAATTTTTTTAAATATTTTTCTGATAGCTGTTATGACTTTGCCTATCACCCGGTTTCGGCTTGACGTCGACCTCTGAGACAACCCTGTATATGTTACATGTGTTTTTTACGTTTTTTCCAGCTCTGTTGTCAAAATGATGATTTCTTGTCCGGAGATTCGCCAAAAAGCAAAAAAACCACAGTTTCACCGATGTTTCCAACTATAAACATAACTTGGATGATCGCGAACTCTTAAACTCATTCCACTCATATATGTATAGTAATTCAGTTACCCAAGCATTCCTTTACTAATCCAAATTATCAAAAATTGTAGAAAATCTCGAAAATACGGTTTTTGTTTTTTTCACAATTTTCCGGACCACAAATCACAATTTTGATAATGAAAAGAACGCACAAAAATACGTAGGCATCAGGTTTTTGAGTCGGTCGAGTTCTAATATCCTACCTTGAAAATGTCAACTATTGAATTTTGGCAATTTCCCGGACAAAAGATCATGATTTGGACCACGGAACTGAAAAAAGTAAAAAACCATTATTGACCAAAAACCTGAAAACTTGTAGAACATCAGCGAAATTACGGTTGTATTATTTTCGCAATTTTCTGTGGGATGCTTCACAACTTTGACAATTAAACCTGAAAGAATGCACAATAATCCATACGCACATCGAAGCTTTTGGGTTAGCAAAGTTATGATGTCTTATTCTTGAAATACTTAGAGTTAAAAAAATCGGTGAAAATTCCGTTTTCAGATTTTTGCTAATTTTCCGGTCAAGAAATTATATTCTAACAACGGAGCTGCAATAAACGTGAAGAAATAAATACACGAAATGAGTTACACACTAAGTTAGCCAACTATTCCTTTCCTGACGAAGAGCATCAAAAATTGAAGAAAACCAGTCAAAAACGCTGTTTTTCATATTCTCTCAATTTTCCGGAAAACAACTCAAATTTTGATTGTGGAACTTAAAAGAAAGTACAAATATACATATATAAGTTGGTCACTTATTATGTTTGAAATGTCAAAAATTTGTGAATGTGCTGTTTTTTAATTTTCTTCGATTTTCTGGACTTAAAACTTTATGATTTTGATAGTGGATCTGGAAGGAACACAAGGAAGCACTGACATACGGTGCATTAAGTTCGAGATTCTCATTACCTACATAGAAAAGTGAATTAAGTTTTTTTTTTCTCGAACCTATAGATTCTAAAAGTCTATAAAAAATCACGGTTATGTGGTATGTAGTAATGTATTAATGTAGTATTGATATTTTTATCAAATTTTTTTGAGCAAAATTGCGCCTTTAAAAAATGATTTACAAAAAACACGTTTTTGAGGTTATGGCTTAATTTGGATAGATCCAAATTGGGGTACCTTTGGGAGCAATTAACATATGTAGATGTTCCTATAGCCTTTGTAATATGTACAAACAGCAGAGCCAAAATAGTGAAGATTGAAATTGTATACCTTAAATGTGTAAAAAGTAACCAGTCCCGCCAGTTGGTAGACATTGATAACAGGCTTGTATATCTTAATCAGTAATTTTCGGAACTATGTTTATAGGAAATTGTTGTTATTTTGGTAAGTCCTTTTAAGCTTTGGAACAATCACCAGTATTTTTTGCACCATCCATCACATTTTTTAGTGTTTTTTTCAACTATTATAGATAAACAAGCAGCCAACATATTTTATATACATATTTTGTTATGTGGATTAATAAAGTCTTTCAAAATACTTAGTCTGTGGTTTTATGGAATCCCATTCGTTGAATAGAATTTGGAATATAAGCATAAGTACACTTTGGCAAATCTAGTTATAAAACGAATTGACGAGAGGGGGGTCGGTTCAGCTGGAAAATATCTGAAAAAGAAGTGCATTTGATGCCGAAAGACCAAGTAAATTTGGCAAAACTATATTTACCTAGAACAGCGATCTTTAAAGTTGCTTACCTCGTCGTTTTAAATTTATTTTCTAAGGCAACCAGTTGTTCGTAGGTGAAGGCAGTCCGCGCTCGTCTGGGCTTCCCCGCATTTTGCGATTTTGAATCCCCCTTTTTCTTTTTTGACGGATCTTTCAGGTCTTCGCTTATATCACTGTTCATGTCATCATCATCATCTGACTGACGATCCTTCCCTATAACAAAGAAAAACTATCTTAACTCCTAAGAAATAAAAAGTAACACGAGTACAATAGGAGTACGTAAAAGTGTCATTACCGGACGACCATTTAGCGGCAGCTAAGGACTTTTTTATCCAACTGCCTGTTTGGAGCAGTATTCTAATTTCATGGTGTTTATAGACATCACGTTTCACCACACATTAGCTTTGGTATATCAAGCGTAGTTGTGTCTAAAAAGGAAAACCCCAACTTTGCGGACACCCTGTATATTTGCCGAAGACCGACTTCACATGCCTTGATACTGTCTGGTGTCTAGAGGCATACCTATAAAGTACTATCATATCTTCCCACTGTATTTTTATTCCAGGCTGCTAATATTTTGCTAAGGACAAAAATTAATTTTGACAGTTGAAGTCATATGTTGAGTTGTCATTGCCTTTCTCTCAACTGTACTATCGATCTACCACGCCATAGTGTATAGTAATTAGCAACACACTATCCATATAACGTGTATATAAATTAATGAAGGAAGGTGTTTGCTATAAATTATTAACGTAATTAGGTAATAATACGCGTTTATAAATTCTATTAATATTTAGATGTTGATACAGTGTAGACGCATGGGTGCCGGCAGCAAAACACCTAGGAGGATCTGTGCGTGATTGTGTTTTGCGCTGTATCTGGTCAATAATTAAGACGACATATCGTCGCTTAAATTCCGACAACGCCTAACTCGGAATTTGCAATAATAATACAAAATAACAGATCCATTTGCTAATTTGATGGAACATTTAACATTGGATATTGATATGTGACAAGCTTATGAGAGCTTTAGAAGAACCATGTTCAATAACAAAAATGCTCAATTCTTCCTGGAGTGAAGCGCCACTAAATAAATTACTGCTAAACAAAAAATACATTTTGATGATGATGTTCTGGGCCCCGAGCTTTTAAATCTATGTCGCCTTAATAAACATCAAGCTTGTAACTTCCATAACTATCAAAATATTTAATAGTCTTCATCAGAGTCATCTGAGCTTTCTCTCCAGTGAATGATTATATTAGTCTCCTTCCTATTAAATACTTGATGCTTGTCCCAGTCGTTTTTAATCAAGTGCTTGGTATGTTTTACACTCTTGGCCCAAATTGTAGGAGTCATCTTCGCTAGAGTAACGTCCCCAGCTTTCAAAACTTGCTTGTCACCATAGCCATTTTCCCCAAAATGACGATCATAGTACTGTTTGGCTATTCCCCAGGCTAACTCAAGAGGGCTGTATTGACAATGTTCATGTAATATTTCGTCTATGATATATCTTGGAGTCGATGGCTTATTAAGGTGACATAGATTTAAAAGATCGAGCTTAAAAGCATCAGCATCATAATGTATCTTTTTTGTCTTGCAGCCATTGCTTCAATTGCATTGTACTCCAACTGGGATTGGGATTTTTTCTGTTAAGGCACTATGATAAGGGGCGTTATCCATGATTACTAAAGATGGCTCTTGTAAGGCTGGTATCAGCTTCTCACATACTCATTTTTTGAAAGAATCTTTGCAAATGGAATCGTTGTAATCAGCACTTCTATTTTGTTGCAAGCAACAATGCAGTATCTATCCAGAAACCGTTTTTGGTGCCAGCATGGAGAACGACATAATATCTGATTTTATTCGCTGAACACTGCGTAGACCGCTGTCTTCATTCGCTTCCTGGAAATAATCTCATAAACTTAGCAGAAGCTGTCGGCCTTCTCCATTGATCGTATTTCAAGACATTGTACAATTCTATATTGAAAATTGATAACAGGACAGCTCAAATTGCACGCCGATGTCAAGTAAGTTGTTGACAAATATGACTGAAGGGCACTCATACATAACGACAACGTTTTCGAGTCATAGACACACAACTAAAAAACGTATATCTTTGAGCTTATCGAACAAACGTTCACACAGAGGGGTAGGTTGCATGTGTATGTATGAGGGAAATGGAGATATACAGGGTGACTTCGAAGTTGAGTCATTTATTTTAACAGTGAGTAGATCTGATCAAAAGAAATGTTTTTTTCCTTTACCATTTTTCTGGTAAAATTAAAGTAACAAAGTTATAGCCCTTTGGAAGTTTGAGTACCGCCCTGTCTCAATAATAATATCATGTGCTCGTGTTTGGCAACAACGGATATAATCCGCCTTATCGGTTCATCGCATCGGAAACAAAAAAGCGAAAAAATTTGGAACGATGTTTTTACAATTATTTTATTCAGTTCAGTTATACATACAGTCAGTGTCAGTCGGTGTTCGCGTGTGAATAGTGTCTGTTGCGTGGCTCAAACCAAATAAAAAATGGCACATGTTTATGCGGATCGGTTTCCCAATCGAGTGCAGCCAACCCCTCGTGCCTTTGTTAATGTAGTACAACGGGCTCGTGAATCAGGTGACTTAAGACCTCACAGGGGACCTCACGATCAAATACAGGTCCGCACTGAAATACTTGTCGGGAGGATACTTTATAAAACAAGGTAAAACATTTTATTTATTTTTTTTTATTTTTACACATATATTTTGGTTTATCTTCCTTCTACAATCATTATCTGAAAATTAATGACTCAACTTCAAAGTCACCCTGTATATCGAAGGACACTGGTAGTCTCACTTTGACCCGCCAAGAACGGTGACTCCAACTATACCAACTAAAAGTTTTTTTAATTGTGTACCTGTATTTATACGCATTCATTTTCTATTTGATGAATTCAATACAAATTCTAATTTGTCTGATCGATTACGAAGACATTTGATTTGATTTTCGATTGGAGCGCAGAAACGTTGACACGATTGTCACTCATATAATTTGCACTAGGAATATCATTTACCCATATAGTGCCGCTAACGTAACGCTAAAAGTGCGTGGCAATTAACGACCCTTATTGGAATTATCGACAGTGTTAATAATGGCTTGATGACAATTTTTGTTCAGATTTTTATGCTTTCTATTTTTCGTCCAAATGGATTAACGCTTTCACTGGTTACCCCGGCTAGGGTTACCCTTGTTACTAAAAATGCCAACAGTGTTATTTATCTGTTTCTGTGTTTTACCAGAAGCCGAAGGTTGAACTAATATTTTTATGTACTGACGCTTAGGTCATTGTGCAAAGTAAAAAAATAACAATGACAATAAATATATAATATAGACATTGGAATAATTTTGGATGGATCCTCTCTATTTTGACAAAAAAATAGCACTGTGTGGGATGGAATACCTGATTGTTAATGTTTTAAAACAAACCTAGCACAAAAAAGATATTTATATAGATATGACACGCTCCACTTTGTCGTCGAAAAAACTCCGACCTTCTCTAGAACAAAACTTTGCCAAACAGTAGGTCACCCTGTATATGACAATAAATTGGAAAAGGCCACCAATGTAACCGAAGCGCCAGTAAATGTTTTAACTTAACGTCTATGATTTTATCTGAGATTCAGTGAAACATAGATATTGGTCAGCGAGACAATCACAGGATACGTATTCGTATTTTTCAATGGATTGCATTTGAACCCTTTCTTACCCTTTATCCACGCCCATGGTTGCACAGTGAAATTAGGAGTGTGTATATTAATTGCAGTAATCGTGATTAGCCATTTTGCCTCGATCAGAACCTGCCACGATTAGAAGGTACTTATTGAACCGATATAATGCCACAGCGCTGTTAATTAGCTTCGATTTTACATTATGGCACAACGCGTGCCGCTATCATTCAATTCGGTGAACTAATCAGTCAGAATGAATGCTACACTGAACAATGATCGGTCATGTAGATAATTGTCGAAGGAATGTTTAATTTTTCGGTAGAGAATGATTTATATATAGTCGTGATTTTCAGTCCGTTAATAATAATCTATATATAACATATATGTACTTATAAAAATGAATACTTATTTCGCGTGGTCACGCCATAACTTGTGAACGACTTAACCGATTTCATTCATCTTTTTTTTTAAGTTTAAGTCCTAATGCTGTATAGAAGGCTCTTACGGGAAGACAAATTAATAAAATTGCGCAGAAAATTGAGAAATCATTGAGAACCTAACGATTATTTAAGCTACGCGCGTTTGACAGTTTGCTTGAGCATAGAGCACGCACACAGAGGAAATATCTCAAGTACCAAAAGAGACATTTCAATCCTCTCCGCTATCTTTATTCCAAGTCATTGACAGTTAGCTGTGTGAGAGAAAATTGCTTATGAAAACACGTTTTTGGACTTAGATTGCTTTACCATCCGTACTCTGTGATGGCGCTTTCAAAAGAAACTGCAATGTTGCCTAATTGTCATCTTTGTCAGTTAATTAATGGGTGATTTTTTTGCCAGTATCTTTTTGGCAACACTTGTCTTTGATAGATGACGCGTGAATCGTGTCTTGTGTCATTGTCAAACTTGTTGAGTTTGGTCTATAATTTAACCATGAATCGACTTACGAACGAACAACGCTTGCAAATTATTGAATTTTACTATCAAAATTCATGCTCGGTTAAGAGTGTGCATCGAGCACTGCTTCCAATTTATGGGCAATTTGGTCGGCCTACTGAGGGAGCTATTCGGAAGCTTGTGACTAAATTTCGAACCCAGTTTACATTAGTGGACAGTAAACCACCAACACGCAGACGCAGAGTGAGGCCTGAAGATAATATTGCGGCTGTATCCGCCAGTGTTAGTGATGACCGTGAAATGTCGATTCGCCGCCGTTCGCAGCAATTGGGCCTCTGTTACTCCACTACGTGGACAGAATTTGGGTGTAAAACCTTATAAGATACAGCTGGTGCAAGAATTGAAGCCACACGACCTCCCACAACGTTTCCAATTTGGTGAATGGGCGCTGGCAAAGTTGGAGGAAAATCCACATTTTTATCGAAAAATTGTGTTCAGCGACGAAGCTCATTTCTGGTTGAATGGGTACGTTAACAAGCAAAATTGCCGCATCTGGAGTGAAGACCAGCCAGAAGCATTGCAAGAGCTACCAATGCATCCCG